CATCATCATTAGAAACAACAACAGCTACAAATAATCATAATAATAGACATTCAGGCGCATCATCATCGTATTCCAATACTTCTCAAACGGTGCTTCTCTTTTCTCAGAGAACTGAATTGTAATTATTTTTTCATTATTTTTTTTTTTCTTTTCATCCTAATTTAATTAAATTTTGCTGCTGCCTTTATTTCATATTTCCAAGAAAAAGAATAAAGAATATTTCACTTATTTCTATATATAAATTATAATAAATAAAAAAAAAGAAACTTTTTTTTCATCGTTGAATACATAAAATATTTTTTTAAAATAGTTTATTCATGAAATACATTAGAATTTTCAAAAAAAAACTGAATTATAATTCTTCTTTTTTTCTTGCTAGAAAATTATCTTTGATGTATTTCGCGTGTTAGTATCACGTAATGATTTTTAATAATTGATCTTACTATTATGCCTTTATAACTCCATAATTATCTTTATGAAATATATTTGTATTTAATGTTATAAAATGCTTAGATTAATCACTTTGTCGATCTTGAATTTGTTTTAGTTATTATCAGAGCTCTTTCATTTATAAATTTTTCTTTTGTTATTTGAGACGTATGATAACGTCATTGTTTTCTTTCAACAAACTGAAAGCTTATATCCATTATTACGAATATGTAAATGAATACTATAACTTGCATGGAAAATTTTTATTAATGAATAATATTATTAGATAAACTAAGAAATAGTGTTTATTATGCATCAGGTACTACACATCTGGTTTACTTTAGTTATATGTTATTTTATTCTGTGATGGTTTGCATTTTCTTTGTTTAATGTCTGGTATTAGAAACATACATTAATGTATAGCCTTTTTGTTCTTTAATAAATTTAAAAAATTGTCAAATATTGACGAATAATTTTGATACAAAATCTATAAAAATGACCGTTGAATTTTAATAGAATTGAAAATCGAATATTTTTCATAATAGTTCGTTAAGTAAAAATATCAAAAATAAATTTTTCGCTAAGAGAAAAGTT